AGTGAACAGAAAAAAGTACACCACAATTTTAAAAGCATTGGGTTCAGTTCTTAGGAACTTATTGAATTTTTTGCATAGACTTTAGCGCACAGAAGCATCCATGCAATGTACGTATTCATGCATAAACATATCAAGGCATATGTGGTGGGTTCTTCATTCTGGTATTAGAAGAGAAGCTTCACTGATCATGTTTATTAGGTACTCCCCAGGTAGGCTCTTCTCATCCAGCTTTAGACATTTAAAGCATAGACATCTATAATACGCAACTCACTGTAGTCTCCCTCCAGTCAGTGAAATGAGATAGGCATGGCCTATCTGTCACTTACTTAGGCATTGCCTTCAGAAGAGGCAGAATCATGCTCTAAAGCATCTCTTCCCCACGCACTTGAGAGATAACTCCATTTGGTCAAAGGATCCTTTCAGAGTCCTCCTCCTCTGCATTCACTTGGATTTGATGTAAAATCTGGGTTGGTCATAGAGAGAGAGGATTTTTCCTTGGTAGCTTCAGAAGTCTGGTTAGGATCAGAATAGAGACCTGGACAAGACGCTATGGTCTTTCTTATAGTCTTACTTGTAGAATAGGAGTGCTTCTGCTGGTAAGAGCTGGAAATACAGCTCTTAACACCCTTACTGCCATTCTAAAAGGGATTCACTACTACAGTCCACCCTGCTGTTTCTTCTGGCTCAAGCCTAATGAAACGTGCACTAGTTTGTTACATTGATCCTTCCTTCTGTCCCTTTTAAGATCTGTTTTTGTAGTTCAGATGGAGCCCTGTGAAGAACGGCTACAGTTTCACCGCCATCATTATTTTTTCATTAAATTTACCCACATCATGTGGTAATTGGGTTTCCTGATTCAGAGTCCTGAAGGTTTTCAAGATTCTTTCAACCTATCAATCACGCTAATGTCCATACCCAAACATGGCTTGTCTGGTCACTGGCACAGATCATTATGCACCCTGCACTTCTGCCCTAGGCAAGTCCCTAAACTCTCCTTCTATCCTAATTGGGTTACCCTTGGCACAGATGAATCTTGCAGTCATTCTAACTACACAGTTGGTAAGCAGAGAAGGATCTAACGTTGCCACCAAAGTGAATTTTGTGCATAGCACTTTTTCCCCCAGAACTGGAGAAAGCACATTAAATACCATTGTTGGTTGGAAGGATGCCATCCTGAAAACAGTAGGCTGCTATGCACATTACTCTGCATAAGCAGGGGGACCTGCCCAAAGTGATCAGCTTCCAGTTTCGTACATTTTGTGATGACAGTAATGAGCTTTATAGCAGTTATCCATGTTGGAAACATAAACACACATATACTAGGAGTGTTTAGATGATTTTTCAGCACATCTAGTGATCTTGAGTTATATAAAAGAAAGCCAGAATGTTTTGTTCACATGAAGCCAGGCCTTGGACTATGCTATTTCAGGACAGACATTTGAAACACCACTTTTATGCACAAGTCAGGTGGTGGTTTTTTTAATCTTTTTTTTTTTTTTTTTTTTTTTTTAAACCATTTAATGCTTAACTTAACCATGTTAATGCTTGCTTTATTCACTTCAGGCTTTGCCCTTGAAGCAGACATCTTGGGAGGTGGGAAATCTTTCCCTCTGAGACTGAGCATGAAGAACCAGTGCAGTTTAAATTGGGGCTTGTTATATCTATCTTCACTAAAGGCAAGAATTTTCTGGAGCATCTTAGCCATGAAGGACAAACTGTTAGAAACCAAAGAAATTCCAGGTAGGAAGGAAAAAGATGCACACTCATATCAGCACAATGAATTGCCCCCACACACCTTGTTCATTCAGCCTGAAGCAACTACAAACTACCTCACATTTGCCACCGGTCATAACACCCACACAATTACTGCAGGTCCCCTGCAGTACTGTAGCTAATGAGGTGCTGCTACCATATGTTCAGAAAGTACCACCTCATTGAATGTGAGATTTCAGGTCCTCCTGCACTGAGAACACCTGTGTGGGGAAGGTGGCTGCCCAGGGCACGGGGGCATAGCTCTGCCACCTGCTTTTGGGCATCCCCTTGGCCTCCTGTTTTCATGTGAGGCTGTGACTGCTGCTCAGTGGAGCAGAGGTTGCCTGGCACTTCCCGGGCCTAAGTCCCCAGTGGATTATTATAGATATTTTTGAGGTGCGAATCTGCTAACTGCAAATTATTTCACTTTTGACAGATTGTTGTTGCAAAAACAGGCTTTGGAAGCATTAGCAGTAGCGTAAATAGCGCTGTCATGGTTTAACCCCAGTCGGCACTAAGCACCACACAGCTGCTTGATCACTCACCCCCACTGGGATGGGCGAGGGAATCGTAAGGGTAAAAGGGAGAAAACTCGTGGGTTGAGATAAAGACAGTTTAATAGGTAAAGCAAAAGCCCCACATGCAAGCAAAACAAAACAGGGAATTCATTCACCACTTCCCATCAGCAGGCAGGTGTTCAGCCATCTCCAGGATAGCGGGGCTCCATCACATGTAACGGCTACTTGGGAACTCAAACAGCATCACTCTGAACATTTCCCCTTTCCTCCTTCTTCCCCAGGCTTTTTATTACTGAGCATGTCATCATATGGTATGAAATATCCCTTTGGTCACTTGGGGTCTGTCCCAGCTGTGTCCCCTCCCAGCTTCTTGTGCACCCCCAGCCTACTCACTGGTGGGGTGGGGTGAGAGGCAGAAAAGCCCTTGACTCTGTGTAAGCACTGCTCAGCAGTAATGAAAGCAGCCCTGTGTTACCAACACTTTTCAGCACACATCCAAAACACAGCCCCATAATAGCGACTGTGAAGAAAATCAACTCTATCCCAGCCAAAATCAGCACAAGTGCTGAGAAGGCAAGCATGTTACCCTGAAAAAATAACGTTATTCAACTGTTGATGTGACTGAAATATTTTATAATTTAATCACTTTCTTGTTTTAATTAAATGTGCCTCTTTCTTTCGCAAAGAGAATGTCAGCTAAGAAGCATAATGATAAAAAAATATTAATTATTCAGATTTGATGAGGACAAAGAAAGATTTCTTTCTCGGTCAATTTACAGTGATTCAGTCTGCCAGGGCCAAGAATTAGCACTAAATGAAAAGAAACCCAAGTGGGTAATTAACAGCAGTAACAGCAACACCAGAGATGTGACCTCAAAACATCAGAAACATAAATGTTCTTCAGGTACTGTCTTTGTTCACACTGTCTGAAAAGTGAGAGCAGTGCACTTTTTCTTCAGAAACTCAAAGTGAAACAGTTACCCTTGCCACATAACTCACTCCAACCTTATTCTCAAGTCTTAGACACTCACCTTCACAATCAAAATTGTAATTGTATGACATTGTTATTGAGAAATAGGTAATTCCTAATTATCTACCTACATACTCCCACACTCCTAATGTGCCTGAATCAGTGCCATAGTTGTGAAGAAGGCTTCAGCTCTCTCTGGCAAAACTTTATACCCATTATTTTCTATTTTATTCCTATTTTCCTCACCGTTCTTTATCAGGGTATTAGATATTTATTTCATTGTGGGATCCAAGAAGACATTCTAAGGCCTGCACAGCTAACATTCCAGCTCAAAATCCACGGGGATGACACTTTATATGTGAAGTGATGCAGAATCAAAGACATAACATAACAAAACTGATAGCTTTATTTTGATCATGGTAAAATATAGACTAAATACTGGAGAACTCTGATGCTTGAATAATCTGAAATTTCTGGAAGTATACTGCAGCCCATCCTAGTACGGTAGCAGATTTTTTGGAAGAGCTTCTGTTTCTTGAAGTTTAAGTTTCTTTGTGCATATGAAGTTACGCCTATAAATCATAACGGAAATATATTTAAAACCAACCACACTTGTGAATGATTCTAGTTTTACACTGACACATATATCAGTAATGCTTATTTAAGAGGATAAATTATAATAATTAAGGAAAAAAATACACTGCACAAATAAAGCCATATGTGACATATAATAAACTAGATTAGAAAAGGTCAGACGATAAAAAATCCTGAATATATGCCAAAACCTCCAAATACTCATTCAGATATTAATTGGGTACTTCACACAGAAGAGCCTTGGCTCTTGGCCATTACACACGACAGTACAAACTTGGTAACACAAAGTGGGTGTTTTTTGAGGGTCAGATGCTTGCTGCTTTGGTTCCCTTCCCACTTCTGTCACAAGCAGCCAGTCCTACTGCCGACAGAGAACAGAGCCCCAGCCGTGCCTCCTCCGGGCTCCTCCAGCATCTGGTCATGCTTAGCTGGCAGCCACCTTGCAAATCAAGTGACTTCTGTCAGCCCTTTGAGGAAATGCAGAGGCTGGAGATAGGAAAGGAACGCAGCCTTTTGTGTCCCCTCCTGGTGTTATAGATCCCTCCTGGAGTCAGATGGAAAGTGACTTTCCAGTAAATACTCTTTTAAACATGGCTTTGCTCTCACCAAAGGTTGCCAAAGTAACACTTTTGTACACAGCATTCAGAGTGACATAGGATTTTACCATTAACCACCTCATTTAAAAAGGAAACTATCTTTATGTGTTTGAGGATTTTGCCTTGGCTGGGGTTAACCCATAGGTCTCCCGCTAGCCTTTTCTGCTCAGTGAGTTCTTTCACAGGGGTTGTTGAATCTAGACAGATATTGTGTAATGTAGGTTGAATCAGGAAATAGTATGATGAGAAGCAGTTACATGGGGAAGGGAGGTCAAAAAAAGCAGCAACAGGAACTCAGAAAATATGAGGATATAAATAAAAGGACAGGTGCTATCTTCAGTCATGTAATGTGATGGGGACTCAGTAATTGACCTAAAAATAGAGGAGACTGAAAGAAAACATTCTGAAAAGCGCAGTAGAGGCCATAACCTCAGCTGGTGTAATTCAATGTACTTCCACAGAAATGAGTACAGAAGTGAATCACTACAGCAGAATAATAAGAACTTACATATTTATAGAACAAGTGGCGAAAATAGCACTTGTCAGAAAATATTACTCAAAGCCAAAGAAAAATGTTTATTGAAGTAGACCGCATTCTGTGGAGTTGTGATTACTATATCATGCTAACAGTAAAGGCAGTCGATGCATAGACTAGGTTAATTTTAAATACATGTTAAGCAAGAAACATTTGGTAGCTATGATACAGATGGTAACAGTCCTAAAAAAGAAGGGATCATGTTTATCTTTTCCTCTGTGGCAGTATTTTTGGAATGACAATGGCTAAATCAGAACAAATACTTGAGTGGATCATGCTCAGCTGGATATATATCTGATCAGATTTCAAACCTTGCCAGCTTTGCCTTGGATATAATTATCTCAGGCTCTGGAGAATTACTGAAGGCATTTTACTTATCAGCAGCAACTGGTGATTTTAAAGGATGGGCATTCCCCACCAGTCTACGGACAGAAGAACACCAAAGGCTAAGATTGCCTCAGACAACCTAAACCTGAATTTTAGTGTTCTTGCTTTGAAGTGAGCTATTAGATCTCCATTTTCCCCTGTTTCAAAACAGCCCTGTCAGCTTGTTCTGGATCCCATCCTGAGCAGTTTCACTGTTGAGAAATCTCGAGAGACAGAATAGATGAGGAAATGCTATTTTTCTCTTTGGTTGATTTTTTTTTCATTTGAATAAAAAATTTTCATAAAGTTGGAGAAATTCTGCTCCAAGAGGCATAAACAGGAGGAGAAACATGCTTTCTGGTTGGTATCGTGCAGGCCAAGAATACTGCTAAATCTGTGCTTTAATCACTGACATTTTATGCAACTGTCTATAATTAAAAGCAGAGTTTTCACCCAAAATGTATCTTATGCAAGCAACATATGTTTTGTGCAACTGAGCTTAACTGTTCTTATCCACTGAAGAAGCAACTTCATTCCTGGAGAGCTGAGACTGGACTGTTTCCTTACAATGCTGCTGAGCTTCAGGAAGCCAAGCTCAGCATTACTATTGCCACGCTCATGAAGACTGAGCTCAGTACCCTTGTTGTTGTTAATTAGTGTAGTGCCGTGAACTTTCACAGTACTGCACGGACTTCAGCCTACTGAGACTGTGACTCCCGTTTAAGTAGGACCATTTGACTTCTGAGACTTCACGCAGCACCAGGATAATTGCATCCAGAAGTGGCTTTCTCCCACAGTGGCTAAATGCAAAGCGCTGTAGCAGAGCCAGCTCCTCAGATGCACTGCCGGGTCACTGCATCCATTTTGCACATTCATAGCTGAGCAGCCTTGTATGAACCATTTCAGAATGGTGTATTTTAAAATGGAGTAAATGGTAGAAAGTGCTCTATTATTTGTTTTAATAAGGCTAAGGAATAATCTGATAACACAAAAATCACACCGTTTAATTGAAACTTTTGATAGCTTTGAAAATACGTTTATTTACAAAATAGAGTTCCAGCCTTCCCAAAGATCAGTGAAAGCTGTACGAGTGTATTTCTTTGAGAACTAGCACAGCCAGAAAGTGTTATGGAAGCGTTATGGTTATTGGCTTTAAATGGAAGCCAACAAATTTTAAACCAGCTAAGCCAACAGCTTTGATTCACTATGCTTATTTTGCAGCTGAATGGGCTAAAATGAAATAAAACTGATATAAATGCCTCAAGGTTACAAGATAATTTTTCAATGAAGCAGTAAAGTAACACACAGTTTTCTTCAGAGGAACAAAAACCCAAAAAATAGCAGGAAAATTTCAACACTACTTGGAGCTGTTTGCAAAACATCAACAACTTCTCCAGAAAAAAGTCCATTTTTTCATATCATTTTGAACCAGCTCTCCTCAAGTGCTTAGAAATCTCTTTTAAGACTCAAGCAGAGTTGCCACCAACTTGAATTCTGTGCTGCAACATCATGAAACACAGTGCAGTAGGAAAAAATAATAACCCTTCTTGTTCTCTTAATATTTTCCCCTTGGTTTGCTTTGACCAGAAATGTCCTAGAGATTTTTTTCATTATTTTCTTTTTGCCTGAAAAACTTAATCTGTTGATGATCTGATCAGTGAACCAACTATCTACCTTATCCTGCAACAAATGTGTCATCATCTGTCACTGCAAAGCTCACAGGATGGTGCAAAGTGCTACTAAGAAGTTTTACAAGCAGCAAAAATGTACCAATGGTCTGATTATTTATATTTAACTATTTTAGAAATATTGGTTTCAGAACCATGCAACTAGTCACACAGTCACCACTTTTCTTTCATTACGTCCTATTAATGTAGACTTTGTTCAAGTCTTTTCTAGAGTGAGCCTGTACATACATACATACACGAGTATATTCTGCCTTCTGTGCACAAGAGTCTTGTTCCTCACTGGCAACTCTGCTGTTAACCTTGCAAACAGTCTTAAGAAACGTGTGCACAAAAATGCCAAGGAAGCCTCACCGTGTGTTTCTTTCTCTCCCAGCAGAGAAGGGGCTGTCTGAGGCTCTGCAGTACTACAAACTGCAAACTATGTCTGCAGCAATGCAAAATCTGATTAACAACTCTGTGCAAACATCTTTGGTTAATAATGGGAAAACTCTTTCAGACCATTTAGTGAAAAACATGAAAACTGAATTGTTTGAAATCCACTTTAAAATTATTACATATTTACCAGACTCTGTGTTCTCCATTTTGACAGAAGACCCTGTCTTGAATATTGGCATCGGACTAGAACAAGATTATCTAGCAAAGTGGTCAGTGGAGTCGGGGATGTTTTCAGACAAGCTTTTAAAACAAGAAGTTGATTACTAACCAGTGTTCTCCTGTGCAGATATCGATATTAGGAGGATGATGAATACTATTTGCTCTCAAAAGTTGAAAACACTGCATTCATTTAAACAGCAATAGCATTGTTTTAGCTGTCATAATATAAGGCCTCTGGCAAGGTACGTGGGAGGAGCTGACATGTTTTTGTAGGCCAACTGACATAATTGGGAGAAAAACAAGCAAGCAAGTATTTCTGCAGTCCCTGCAGTTTGCAAGACCTTGTCTGTTGGGTTTTCTCCCCCTTTTTTTCCCTCAGCTATATCCATGAGTCTAAGAAAAGACAGTACCTTTCAACTTTTATAACAGGCACAGTAACAGGGGAAAGTGCAAATGTGCTTGAGGACTTAAGAGAAATGTAAGATCTTTGATAATTTAATTCAAAACTGGCCAACCAACCAGAAATCCTTGTGCAAACTTCAGTGTGTTTTTTTTTTTGTTTGTTTGTTTGTTTTATGGTAGACAGAGATGATGAGGAAGAGCATTCTGCATTCCCCTTTATATAAAGTTTTACACTTGCTTTCCTCAATGGCATACCCATAACACGCAGTGGAACACCTTAGCAGATGTTCCCAACATTGACAGATCTTAGGTGAGAGAAAATAGTTTAAACAGATGAGTGCATTAGGGGACCACATAAAACACAGTTCATCTTAATCCTAATATTCTGCCCCAGAGAATAGTTTTTATCCTAGTCTCTCTTAAGGTTTTCTACTGTTTCCCCAACCTGTAACCACAAAAATGAGAGAGGAAGGTGGACTCAGAGACTCACAGCATGTAAGAAGCCGCAGAAGTTTATCTCTGAGCAAACAAGCTATTTTGTTGTCAGCTACTTTTGAAGAGCTTGCAGATGCACAAATTGATCTTCACGCTGAATTTGGTGAGTAAAATGGAAGCACTTCAGTATGTCACATATTTCTAAAGCTAGACTTTCCTGGCCAGCTGGCTAATATGTACTCCATTAGGATATGATGTCTGACACCAAGACCTTTAGCTGTAATGAATGGCCAAGCATTCAGATACTCTGAGCCTTTAATCCTCATTCGAGTCACTGAAGTAAATGTAGTTTTCCCCTAGAAAACATGATATAAAAGCAATGTCCTCTTTTTGAAAGTGGACATTAGAGAGCTGCATGTGTTTTAGAGCAGTTCTTTAGGTCTTGTTCTCACAATGCAGCCCCCCTCCAACCACAGGCACAAGAGATATAATAGTTAATACATTGTATTTAGAAAACAATGTCCTCAAAACATGCAACTCTGTTTCCAAACACACCTCCTCTCATTAATGGGTCTGGCATGAACCGGCAAGCTCTTTTTGCAGAGCTTGGATCTGCATGTATCTGCTGAGTACCCCCAGCTGTAGACCCTGCTGGGGTTTGTCATTGTTCTGTATTTATCCAGAGGACCAAATCTTGCCTTCAGCAACTGACAGGAAGAAGCAAAGCGAAGAGGGAAGAAACATTTGTCACAAACATCCTCACACCTGGAGTTGATATGGGATATGAGCACCATCCCAGCCCCATGCACCGTGGTGAAGGTTCAGGGCATGGAGGCAGGAGCAGCACCAACTCTTGCTGATGACCAGGTTGAAAACCCACCGTGTGGTGTGAGAGAGCCCAGCCCACAACTTGCCCTTGCCCCCGCTGAAGCTAGAAAGAGCAACTCCTATCTGCTCGATTCCCACCCTGATGGCAGCAGTATGCCCATAGAGCCTCACGCAGCATCTGTGAGCACCATAGCTTGGCACAACAAGAGGTCCTGGACTTGGCTTCACTCTCCCAGGCAGCAGTTTCGAAACAAAGAAATTTTTTTATTATTTTAAAGAAAGATGCTTTGATTTCTGTCTTTTACCTTCCTATATAGGCATTTCTATACTTAGGGTCTTCATTAAGAAGATGCTAGGGAAGCCTTGTTCTTTAAGACAAGTTTTTAATCCTCTTGACTTCTGAAACAGTCTGAGTAATCCAGCTCTAAGTCTCCTCATTAAGGCCAGATTTATAAAATCTCAATCAGACTTTTGCTTGAGGCTTTGTAAATCTGGTCCTAATACAGATACTTAGAGCTGGAACACAGATCAGCTTAAAACTTTGGGGAATTAGAAGAAATTAAAGCAGCAGATAAAACCTGTTCACCAAATATTCCTTTCATTGCAGCTGACATGAGAGAATATATGTATCTTGTATGGAGCTTGTTCTCCTTGTCTATTTGGTGGCTAAATTACCTGGTAAAGGACAGATGAAGAGAATAAAGCTAAAACCTTCTTGATTTTCTTCTACTTTTACTTTAGACCTATCTGAAAGATCTTGAGTTTAGTCTTCCGAACTTTCCAAGCCTTAATAAAGGATACAGCATGGATCTTTGAGTTCTTGCATCTCCATTTAAAGACTTTAAGATTTCTTTTATCCTATGTTAATTAGCCACTGCAAAAAAAAAAAAATTACATGCTAGAAGAGTTTGAGGTAGTCTGACTTAAAAAACCTTTTCCTGTCTCTTATTGACCATCACCTCATTCGGCGGTGGCAATTCACCACTTTGATATTTCTCCAGTCACTGTAAAATTCTGCAGCCCCTACAGGACTTCAATTTCAGAAGTGAAAAACAAGCAAGAGGGGAAAAAAGAAAACCAAACCATTTGTTTTCTGAACACCTTTCCAGGCATCCTCCATATATCTTTTCCTCACAGGTAACCTTTACCAAAGTATATTTGTCTAAAAGTTGGGCAAAACTTCTGTACTTCATCTGGAGTTTCTCAGCCTTTGTTGATATCAAGCACTCCAACAGACAGGTCTTGCATCTATACCATTCACATCTAAGAATGATGAGGTCCTAGAGGAGGCCAGCAGCAGGCAACAAGGGCTTACATTTAAGGTACTCAACTATATTTCATGGAATTATAGTGATAACAGCCCCAGAGAAATTCTCATTTCCTTGACAATTATAAGGACCTTAGGTAGGGACAGCAACTGTATTTAAAAGAAGTTATATATGCCTGCAAAACAAGGTTATTTTTAAATGCAGGGTGCCTGCTTGCAAACCATTTCTCTGTAGACTCCTCATAGAAGCAAGGGACGTAATACTAGTATTATATCCACTAGAGTTAATTAACCTCTAGTTCAAAAGTACAGTTTTTAAGTTAAGAAAAAGCCTGAGACTGACATTTTAAAAGTCATTTAAATCTTTTAAATCTTATTGGGTAGGGGAGGTACCTCCAAACTGGGAGGGAAGTATGTCTTGTGTCAACAAGAATACTTGCGTTTTAGCATAAAACGTACAGCATCTCACAAGTTCAGTTTTAACAACTTGCTAATCAGACCCTGTTCATTGGCAAACAATTAATGTCATGTGAAAAAAGTTCAGGGAAGTTTTAGCTACAGCAACGTGCCAGGAATTAGTGGGAGGATAAGAAACTTGGAGAAAAATATCAGAAAATGTGGTTCAGTACACATCATTTTGCATTCACAAGACACCCTGCCATGTATATGTATCTGTTTACACAGAGAGAGACAATTATATATAAGTGCATTTGGGTGGACTAATTGCTTCGTTGTCAACTTTCTGGAGGATAAATATATAACAAAACTAACATGGTCATAATAGGCCTTCTGAACACATACAGGCTTCTTGCTTCTTCTGTCTCCATGTCTTTGTGCTATACTAGCATGCTCTTACAAGAAGAAGGAGAAGAGACACAAGTCTTTACCTGTCCCTAGTACTTTCTAGTTAGATTATAACTGCTCTTTCTTAGACCCGCTTTACTGCCCTTGCAGTGCAACAGTGACATTTTAATACTGTACCAGATAATTCTAGGGAACAAACAAGTCATATTGGCCTTCCTAGGCTTTGGGCTAAAAGCCAGGAGTGCTACTACCTTTAGGGTGGGAGAGGAGTTCATGTAGAGATGCTCCTTGTCCTTCCACACATTGATGAAAGAATATGACCTTTTCAAAATTCACTGAAGATCATAATTAAAATTAGATTCTCTTTGTTATCTACAAAGCCTTGAAGCTCTCTTCATCTGAGTGATATTCTTCTTGATCTACTTAGCCCTGACAGCTTAAGTCAATGCTGAAATAAACTTCTATCAGTATCTTTTTCTCTAATAGGAGCCCATGGGCACAACTGAAATAGGAAAAACAAGCACCTTTAAACTAGATGGGCTAAATATGCCCACCAAATCACCATGGATTTCTTTCTTTCATGCTCAGTGAGGATGCTGGCAGTTAAAAATGCTTTCTGCAAGAGGACCTTCACTGTGATAAATGAGAACAGCTCCTTTGATTTTAATGGAATTACATTAAACTACTGTAGGTAAGGATCTGACTCTCTACACTTTTGGATTACACCCAGGAAGGCATTACAGCAGAGTAGGTGATCTCCCAGTTTATGAATTTTTAAACAGACACAGCAGAAGAAGCATGCAAGGGATGACTTGATTTATATAGCCTGCTCCCTTCTTCACTACATCTTCCCTGCATGTTGAAAGACACGTACAGCTGGTTTAAACGCCCTTCTGTGGGAGAGCAGAACATGGACATTATTTACAATTTGCTGCCTGAAAAGAAGAATATCTTTCCTCTTCAGAGTTGATGAGGACTGGGCAGGGAAGAGCCATGCATCAGGCAAGCTGTGGGGTAGCAGTGGCTGATCAACGCAGCAGCCACCATAGCAGCTGGCACCTTTTCTCCCTCACCCTGCTCAGTGAGAACTAGCCTCACAGTGGGAACAGGGCCAGCAGTGGGACACCTCCTACCGACCCAGGTTCCCATGACACAGGGGCCTCAAAGGCTGCAGGTGTAAAGGGAGAAACACTCTGGCCAGGCCAGGGGGGACTGGGGAACTGATCTCTTCATCAGAAGCATAAGCATCCTAACACCCCTCTCTCTCAGTTCAGCTTTGTCCTCAGAGAGCCTTTCCAGAGCACAGAGCAACATTAATGTTTTATATTATGGATATTAGTGTTATGGAAGGTAGAAAACAAGTCAAGCTGTCAGCAATGACTGAATGGGGGAATTCCCTCTGCATCCCCCTTTCCCTCCCCAGTAGCTCCCCAAATGAATGTATACCCCCACACAGAGCATCCTCTCCAGGTAAACATCCTACCTCAGCCTCTCCCACCCCTTCCTTCTCTCTCTACAGAGAGCTCAGGGCTTCTCCCGAATACAGACTACCAGGTTTCTGGCTGTCTTTTCCAGGCAATTCTGTAACTCCTTGCTTCAAATCAGGTCATCCTTCATCCACCCCAGCTACTCCTTTCTCCCTAAGAGCACAAGGAGCAGATTCCCACCACACCTCTCCCTGGCCCTCTGCTTGACCTCTTCTCTCCAATAGGAAATTAAGTTTACATACATATAGAAAAGCACTATGTCTGAGAGACAGGCAGGTAGCTTGCCACTGAAGGAGATGGAGAACCCCCCAAGCGTAGCTGTCAGGCAAGCAAGGTGTGTCTTTGCTCAGAGGAAGGTGCCCACGGTCAAACAGGGAACTTGGCTGACTCCTTGCCCTGGAAGTGGCCTCAGACAAAAGCAACCTGGCAGGCTCTGACATGACATATAACATTCAGTAATTAAGTGCTTCTGTGTTATGGCAGTGATAAGTAACGAGTTAAGTTATTCTGCTTTCATTTTTACAGAAAAGGTTCCAGTATTAGGCTAGTAAGGGAACAGAAGACAAAATAACCATGAACCTTTTATATCAGTACTGAAATAGCACATGATCATAGCGAGCATCCTCTGACCCTCTCCCACCCATGCTCCAACAAGCCTGTGGATGGATTCTCCAGGATATTGCTGCTGCCCAAGCCCATCATCTGTACATGCACTAACCCATGATGTTGGGCATATAAATTCCCAGTCTTCTACCAGCAAAACATAGCCCAGTCAAATGTTACCACACCCATACAAGTGCACACACCCATGCATGGGGACTGGAGGCTAGAAGAGCTGAAGTCTCTGTGCCATAAACCAATGTGGTTTTCCACATGGGATGAGAACTGGTGTTTCAAACCAAGTTTATCAGAAACAGCTTCATCAGGCCTGCAGTGATGGGTGCCATCTGTTTGCTCTTCAAATCTTCAGCCAGATCATGCAGTGCCTTTCACTGGCATCTTCTCAGTTTGTGCAGAAACGTTGGTTCTCTGTTGTGCTCAATCCAATACCTGCAGCAGAAGGAGCACACTCATCAGACTCCCAATACCGTGTTCATGTAACATGAGCAGTCATCATCCATACACCTCTACTAGCTAAAACTGATTGCCATACCTATAGTCATCATCACGCTGTGTCAAAACCACTCTACTAGCATCAGAAGGAAAAGCATTTCAACACTGATTAAAGATTTGAAGATTTGCTTGCAGGATTTTCCAAATTTAAAGCCTATTTAATCATTGCATTTCTGTGGGTTTTCAGGAAAAGCAGCTCAGCTCTGAATGACTCACCCTTCTCAGCCCAAACCATTTGTTCTCTGTGCTAAGTATGGCATCTATTTACTCAGGCAGTCAGGGGCCAGGCATGAAATGTGTGTCAGGTCTCCTCAGGTCCACAATTACATACTGTCGTGTTTTCAATTGAGGTAGTTTCCATGAAAGACCTTTTCTCTACACCCTCAGGAGAGCTTGAGAATTTAGAGCTTCTTCCTTCTAAGGCAACTTTCTGCTCACCTCCACAGTGTGGTCACAGGGGACACAACGGTGCAGAACAGCAGTAATTGTGGAAAAATACTGAAATACAGCATTTAAACAATAATGGTGGCTATTTTCCAGAAGCCTGCTGACTCTACCAATTTTGCTCTAAAGTAACTTTGTGGGCGATGCTGGCTGAACTGTGACCAATTACTGGAAGCTAATAACATGCAGTCAACCTGTTCAAATATAATTTTTTTTTTTACACTGAAAAAGCCTGCCCTTGTACACACACACACTTACAGATTCAGAGAGGTGTATGTAGAGCCAAATAGGCACCATCTGCCTTTTATCATATAAACATTAAAAAGTTAAGACAATTGTCATTGCTGTTTGCCACCAGAATAAGGCTAGTCCCTCATTGCCATTCCAGAAGTCTGAGGATGCACCATGGCAGAGCTGTGTGATGCCATTATTTAGAGGTTAAACCCATATTAAGCCCTTTTGTACAAAAACAATTGCCAGAACAGTCACTCAGATCACCCCACATCAATAATGCATTTATTGCAGAAATGCTGATCCCACTGAAGACAATAGCAAAACTTCCGTTTTACATACAGCCCAAAGTGTATTCCTGGGTTTGGGAAGGAATTCTGCTAACTAGGAAAGCACAAATTCATGTTCAGCCAGGAATTTTGGTACCTCACAATGTAAGAACCCAAGATAGATAGAGATTTATTTTATTATCTAAAAAGAAATTAATTCCAGCATTGCAATTTGGATCTAGTGTGTTGCAACCACAGTTTCAAGCTTGCCACAGTTTTTGAAGAGAAGTAAATGTTTCAAGGTACTGCAGAGCTTCTCTTTTGAAAGAATAACTTTATGCATTACCCAGCTTTTCTAAATAGAATGTCTTTTTCTACTTCAGAACTTCATAATAAAATACAGTAAATTTCACTTTGTTTATTGATCAGCATTTAAAAAAAGATTGCATATACACATATCTCATTTTCTTCGTAAAAAATCTCCAATACATTAATCAGTTCACAATCATTGTTAAAAACACGAGAAAGGACAAAATCTATGCCCACCCATGCATATATTTCCCAGCGAGGTCTACCATTAATAGTGATAGGAAGTAATTTTTGATAAGTGAAAATAAGCTTGCTGAAGATTAAGTATGAGGAGCTATGAAGGTTATTCAACCACAAGAGTAATATTAAATAACAAAAGACTAAAGAGGGGGGAAAAGATTTTGAATATAGCTGCAATGTAGTTAGACACCCCCTTCTTGAAAATCAAAACTGGCTGTGCTGGTGTTTTTCAGTTTATAGTACTGGAGAGTGTGATGTCCCAAAACTAACTTGTGTCATTCTGTGGAAAGGTAGCCATGAAATTGGCTTACCCAGATAATTTGGTTTCATCAACATGCCAGCATGCCTTGTCAGGAAAAAAAAAAAAAAAAAACAGCCAAGCAGCACGCTGTGGTTTTAAGGGATGAGCTGCCTGGGATCCTGAGCTGTGGTGTATCTGCTACTAGTGGTAACTAAGTCACTTCAAAAGGTTTCACAGATGTCACCCAAACAGCAGTTTCCCTCCTTTTACATATGGCCTAAAACAACGCGGCTGCCAGTGCTGAGGAGGGACTCTGAACAAACTGCTCTCAGGGTGGCATTTCCCACGTATGGTATTTCCCACAGCTCCCATCCCTAGTGACTACACAAAGAAAGACATAAGAGGTTTTATGTTCTGTAATAGCAACTAGACTCGTGGCTTCTGAAATAGGGTAGCAAAAAGGGTGTTGGTTGCCCCATATACAGTTGCATTAAGAATATAAAAGCCAGCATCCACCTGAGAATCTGAAATCTCTCTAGCGCTACCTTAATTCAACAACTCTTTTCCTTTGCCACTAAATTTAATTAACAGGGTATAGAAATATTGTCTAGAGAGATTATTTGTTGCAGTCACAGGATTTTCCAGCCAACTTGATTTGCCTCAGTATTCTCTGTTGCAGAGAACTCCATTTATAAGAGACTTGCTTAAAGTGAATGTTAATCTGGCTTAGGTACAGAAATAAAAAATTGGTAAACCATGAAATGCAGCGTTGAGCACAAAGCTAATCCTCAAAGGAAGAAACAAGAATAGGTTGTGCTAGAGTTTTTTTTTTCTTCTTTTTGTTCAGCTTTGATGTATGAAGAAGACCCGAAACTTCTGGAGTCTGTTTTTCCTTTCCAATTTCTCCCTTGTTTTTTTACATTAAAAATTTTCAGAGCATATCTGAAAGAGCATGGTCTCATAGCCACACCTATGCAAGGAAATGTATAATTTTTAATATACACCTAAATATTTTTTTGCAGATATGTAGACAGGAATACAAACAGACCTCGGTGCAGATGAGGTTTAGTTAATACGTTAAACTTCAATCGCTTATTAAATACTAGTCCTATCATGTAAGATACCTCTAGTGTGAGGGCAGAAGTGTTAAAAAAGACGTATTCTTCCAAATTAAGATGGAGCTATGAAAAAATCTAGTGATCACAAATTCTTTGATTATGAGGCAGAGACTAATAACTGTAAAGGATAACGATATTTAAACAGACTGTTTAACATATGGACTTTTTTGGTTGGGTATTTTTTTTTCCCTCAGTGGCAAATTTAATCTGCCACTAACAGGCCTTGGAGATTGTTGCATCTTTATGAAATCCGCTTGCAGACTGCCCCACCAAACCAGCAGGATGCTCCCAATGTGCATTTGAAACCTCAGAGCAGCATCAAGAATAATACAGATGTCTGAATTCTCAAATACTTAACTGCTTCTCAAGTTTCCCTGCAGTAGGAAAAGCTTAAAACAATCTCATTTTTCATTCTGGAGCTTTTGTTGGATTTAGCAGCTCTATTCAGACTCACAACCATCTCAAGAAATCTCCTCCGAGAGGCATAACTATCTCCTAGGAGAAAAACACAGCCAAACACAACTGAAATGCCAAGAACCTACTCATTAACAAGTGCAGAAGAGGAGAACAGATCCAGGGACACTAGCCACATTTGCACTCTGCTTTTTACAAACAGGACTGTTTCTGACAACCTAAAAGGCATTACATCATCCACCGAACCATTTTTCTTTCTAGAAAATTGTATTATTTTTTGTGAGCCAGAAGGAAAACAAAAAGTTGTTCGCAGAGTTCTATAGCAGCTTTATACAGCAACCGATGGATCTGACTAAGGATCTCAGCAAGAGGATGAGTTGTGCCAGTGTCATCCCATTTTCTTTCACGTCGTGTGCAGCTGGTGCTGGGACCAGCGGGGCATTGTGAAAGGCTGAGGACGGAGGTGTACTTGGCTCAGAAGCAGCATGAATCATGACTTCAAAGCAGCTAAGCAGCCTGTTTCATGATTAAATAGGGGAAATGAAAGCATGCCACTGAGTTCCTGTTTTATCAGTGTGCACATATGTGTACACATATCTGACACACTCATGCACATGACTAACTGCAGGGAAATAAGAGTGATTTTGAGAGATGCATGGATGACCTGCACACATACATACGTATGTATAGGCATGCAAAACCCACCTACTTCATATATTGACACGGTACAGCATGTATACTCCGTCTAATGATTGTTGATTAGCTTCATTCTGCAAATTAACTGAGTCAGGCAAACCAAAACTAAAGGTGCCAGGGTATTTCGCTGTCACAAAAGGCACCATGAAGTACTCATACTTTCATTAAGTCATCATCACATCAGTTTTCACTTGAAGAAACAGACAGTGATAAAGGGATTTCTTAATGAATTCTTCTTAATGAAGAACCTACAGGGAAATCCTCATCTTTTTTAGATGGACTACCAGGTGAGCTGTAAAAGTAGTATCAAAGCACCTCAGTGTGCATGATCATTGAATAACTTTCCCACAGGTCCCCAGTGAAAAGCTGTCACTCCTTTAGTTAACACAGTCTTGCACAACTCAGCACATAGTGTCCAAACCCTGCCTGGCAGTTAGCACTGCAATTTACAGCGAGGAGATGCCAACAGTTAAATGTGATTTTGCTTTGCCTGGGCTTCATTCCTACTCCATGCACACATAATCTCTTTGTCTGCACAACAAATGGCCCCTCTCAGAGAAGGCAATGCAGCGCAGTCTGCATCCTGCTGGATGCATGAGAGCATTGGTGCCATAAAATCAAGCCCACCTTCGATTCTTCAAAACCCATCCACAGCATCACCTCAGAAACAATAAGAGAAGCAAAGACTTGTGAGTCTTTCCTAGGGAAACCATCCCTGCTTCTTGGGATTATCAGGGGTTTTCCTTCTTGAGAACTGTATCTACATCAATGTCAGCAGTATTAAATAACCTCTGGCAACCCTGATTTCCAAGAATTTGTGGAGTCCTACCCTTGAATATGTGTTTTCTTCTCTATGTTATCCCGTACTTTATAATTGAAAGGCATGCTTTCTAACAAAAAATATTTTTAAAAAAATCCCGACATCTGATGCCTGGCATTGTTTAATCAGAACTGCTCTATTTTCTGTTGCAAGAAATGATGATGAGTCCTTCTCAAGTTACTACTCCAGTTACTACTACATAGTAATATCTTCTTCTGGCATCTCATTCCCATGCCTGGGGATGTTTGATGTCTTCTCCTATGGAAACAACTTCATACCCTTGATTATCTTACTACCTTCCTCTACATCTTTGGTAGTTCTGAAACTGTGTATCATCTTTTTTTTAGAGATGAGGGGAACTTGAACTGAATGCAGTGTTCCAGATGAGGGTTCATCACAGATTTTATTCAGTGGTTTATCATGCCATTCCACCATGCTGTTTGGCTATTTCCCTCCTAATAATTTCTGGTATTTATCATTGAAGAGCTTCCCACTGTGCCTCCAAGATGTTTTTTCCATTTGATTATAGCCAATTTAGACAATATCCTTGTGTTCATAGCTAAGGACGTGCCATCTGCAGTACTTTGCAATTATTCACACCAAATTCAACTTTTATTTTATCATCATCTGCTAACTTAGAAATGTGAAAATCTTCTGTATTTCTTCATAGTTAGCTGTAGGTTGGACTACCCTTAAAAACTGTTTATCATCCACAAATGTTATCAGCTCATTATTAACTCCCTTTTTCACATCACCCAGAAATACACTGTACAGTATTGGTCCCATTCTGAGATCTTTGGGGCTTCTCAGATTTCAGTAACCATCCTCCTCCAAGAAAACAGGTAATTCCTTCTTACTTCTGTTTTTTTAACCAGTAACTAATTTGTAGGATGATTCTTCTCCTTCTCACATGCTAGCCTAGCTTCTTTAGGAACATTTGCCCAATCTATCCACAGTGCTCCCCTCCGTTAGTACCCAGTTAGTTCTTGGCCCTTGCTAAGGTGGGATTCCTGTTTCTGATTTGCTTAGAAAAAAATGTTCCCAATTGTTCTGGGCATACTACATCATCTAACCCCACCAGAATTTGCACCCTCTTCTATCTTCCTTCCTCACATTTCACTCCTATAATTTAAAGACTATGTTTTTAACTCCTGAGAATCTCATTTACTCTTGTTTAGCAATGCTAGCTTTTTTTTTTTTTTTTTTTCCAGGTTTACTCTGAGGCCCTGCTGCATATCTGAACATGCTGCAAGACTCCATGATACCTTCAGGCATATTAGCTTCCAGCTGCTCCTTTTACTTTCCCCTTTTTTGCTTGCTTCCTAATCTTATGATTTGCCTCTTTCAAACTGAAAAACACTGCAGTGGATTTTCTGTATGGTATCTCTTTAGCAAAGCAGAATTCTCCTCTCTCCTCCCTGGGAAGACCAGAATCTGCACCACCACACTTTCAGTTTGTGCTCAGCCCCTGAAAGTTATGGCAAATACAGTGCAAAATCTTGCTACTGAAGACTTAAAAACATAATGTACATTAATGGCGAAGATATCTGTATCTAATTCTGTACAAAACTGAGAACAGAATAAAAGTATAAAGTATGTGCCTAAGTACACACAGCCCAAATGCACTATCACAGATCTTACCAACAGAGCATAACACCGGAAAATTAACAGAGAAAAATCAGTATTAGTTTTAAGAAAAAATTAATGTTGAGAAAGTTATTCTTTACCCTTTACAAACAAAAACTAGGAGGGTTTTTTTAAAAAAATCAGGGTAGAGAAATTAAGCACATTTAAGTAATTGAGTCCTAGCTCTACTTTTCCTGAAGCACCTTAATTAAAAAAAATTAAGAATCACTGTGTTATGCATTTCCCTCGTTTTCTGTCATATGCTATCTCCTGCAAATATGTAAACATTCATTTCCTCTCATCTGTATTTATATGCTAAGGCATCACAGCTAAAAATATACCAATTTGCTCATTTTTAAGCAAAACTGTTTTCGTAAATAAAATAATTCCTTGAAGTGTTACGCAATCAAAGTTTAAAAGTTTGTGCCATTGACTTCAAAGGGCAGAATGTAGGCTTCTCTAGAGACAGTAGTTTTGGGCAGAAAGCTTACGTAGTAAACATTAAAAATAAGTATCTTCTTACGTTAAAGGTTTTTATCTTTTGTGTTTCTTGTCAATGAAACAAAGGAGATATACCACAAATATTTGAGCTGACAGGAATACTAGCATTGTCAAGTCCACGTAGCTGAGGAACACTGATTTAATTAATTTTCCTCATCAGCTAAATTCAGCTTGACAAGTTTGCATCTATTGGTTGTCAGAGCATTGCCTTGATTCTCAGATTTTAAACAGAGATTTCAGTATGGGCTTTAAAAGTAGAAAAGTTCTGTGAGGAGAGACATTTGATAGGGAATCAATTAAAGAAAATCAGTAGACCTGGAGAGCTGATATGAAACCATCCCTTGAGAGCATTTCTACAGAGTACTGCTTAGGTTGGTTTAAATTGGTTTTGGTAGGATTTAAACATGTGCAGTCAGAAGGTCAACTGGGGCAAAACTGTACCAGCTCCAGAATCAGTCTTAAGATCAAGTAATAAAGTGGAAAAAATGGAAAAACTAAATTATTTATAGTTTTGTCAGTCAGTTTTGAGAAATTTGGTTTGTTTATTTGGTTGGTTGGGTTTTTTTACAAAAAAGCTGCTTGAAAGCAAATTTTAAAAACCTGTGGGTTTTAGCGTTTTAAGATTCCAGATTTTTGTAAATGTCGCAGTTTAAATAATTTTGTGCAAATTTGGTTGAAAAATTCCTGCATTCAGTTACGAATAAACAGCACTGAATTCTTGATTAAGTTAGTACCTCCAGTTCAGTCCCTTCTTTTAGGTAGTCCCTCCTGCTTTTCCCAAAAGCAGCATATTAGGTGCGATCCAAAATATTGCTTGGAGAACACAGTGATAGAAACAAGACAAATTTTACCCCGGAGGACATTTTAGAGCAGTCAGGATAATTATAACAGGAATGAGCCTGGCTCAGCCTATTTAGTGGAGTTTTTTTATATTGCCATTACAATGTAATATGTTATCTGCTCTCTTCAGATTCATATGTGTGTTTAGCCCTACTGCTTTTGGCTCCTGCAGGAGGCCATAGAGACCCTGGGGGCCTGGTGTGGCACTTTGGCAATGCTGGAAAGTTCAGCAAGATAGAGCTTGAAAAAAAGGAAGGTATAAAATGCAAACTAGGCAGGATATATAGTCAACAGACTCCCCTCCTTAGAAAATTTTTACTTAATGATGGAGGGGAAAGAGGGGAGGCAGAAATATCAGAGAGCAGGACTTTTTCAACTGTGCCCTTCACAAACATCAACATTCTTTTAATATGCCAAAAAACATTCATCAAGATAAAACAATGAAAATAGCAAAGTCGGTCACAAGAATTGCTACTCACACAAGATTCAGCTCACAAAGATGACAAAACATCGACTCTCCATACATTTAAAAAAAAAAAAGTCTTTTCTATTCTCTCACCTGCTTTGAAACAAATTTTAGATATTCTTTTAACAGTGTTCTGAAACAATAAGATAAACAAGCTTGTGCTCTCTAAAATATAAAAGAGTATAATTGTAACAGAAATAACAGCTAATCTAATGAGAGATAGGACTCTAGAGTCTTTTGAATTTTTTAAAGCTGTTCTGTAACACTTGTTATTGCAAAGCAGCATTTTATGCATTTTTAATCCACCCTTCTGCAATTCATATTCCAATGTCTGTCAGACTGGATCTGTAGGGACCCAGGGACAAGTATCATTTTATTATGGTAATAAAGGACAAGAGGAATACATTCTTGTGAATTTGTTCCCTTTGAAAACTTGATCTATGAAAAGAGAAAACCATGTTGTTTTTAAAGACAGCAGAGCTTTAAAATATCCATTTCATATTCAAGGCTGAGTTAAACTGCATAGTTTTTATATTTTACTAAACATTTATCCATAAAATCACACAAAAATATTTTCTAACATACAGTAGAATATGCCTAGCCTATATACTCACTTATTTCATCCCACTTTTTAAAAAGGCTGCACCCTAAAAAATAAAGCCACTTTAGTTGCAAACCTCTATACAGATTAAAAAGACTAACTTAACTTTTTTTAAATCATCACTAGTTTGAATGGTATACCAAGTTTGCTCATGCCTTCTCGCTGTCCTCCCCAGCGCTAGGGACACCTGCCTGTAGCTTATGGGAGGCAGTAAGTGAGCATAAGAAGAAAACCCGCCGCATTTCCTTACTTACCTCTCTTCATTGTCCTGCAATGCTGCTCCTTCATGCTGGCTCCTCTTCAGCTGTCGAAATGCCCTCTGGGATCTTACCCAAGCATCGGTCTCTTACACCCAGAGTCAGGGTACTCTGCTTTCCCCACACTGTGCCCCTCTCCTGTCACAGCAAGCAGCCCCCAGAAAGGGCTACCATTCACCAGCTCTTCACCTTGCACCCCAAGGAGAGAAGTGCCCTTTGGGGACTCTCCACTCCTAGACCTTTCACAGCCCACTTCGTCATCGCTTCTCTCTTTTACCTCATGAGCACTGATCAAATCAGGCGTGCTCTGGCACTGGACAGGATTCTGATTAATAAACTACTCTGCTTTACATGGTTCAAATTTAAGCTTTTATTTGGTTTTTAAATTAAAAAAATAAATTTCATTATTAAATAGTGGAATGGGTCTAAACTAATGTTTACATATTAGTTCACTTGCTTTAGTATACCACCAGAGAAATAATTAAAGTATACCATCCGGACAAAACTTTCTGTTAGAAAGCTCAACAGTGGCATAATTCAGTTAAACAGGAAAAAAAAAAAAACAACAAAACAACCCAACAAAAGTCTTAATGTTTACAATGAATGTTAGAAGTAAACCTCTGGTTTCAGCGTCATCCAAATCTAGTTTTCATCACAAAGGCAGTCATTGTATTCAGAATACTATACCACAGTGCTAATGTCATCGGCTTCATCTGGTTTCTTTTGCCTGCTTGGCAGGGATTTCAAGTACTCAAGGTGCCTCCTTGCATCCTCCTGATTTTGCCGGACGTAATAAACCACATATGAGATCACCATGGTGAACCAGCCAAACATGGTGACCAGCATGGCATAATCAGTAGTCTTTTTAGGAAGGTTGCAGAGGTCAGCATCGTTGGCAGCGTTGAGGAACGGTCTCCCCGCATGTTCATCCAGCACAGAAGTCTTGCAGATGACGTTGTTGGCTGTCTCGTGGTTGGAGGCCATGCTCCTCAACACCTGCTGCAGCGTGCAGTCACAGTGCCAGGGATTGTTTGCAATTCTGGCTCTGGCCTTTAAGTTGTTGAAAGCGTTTTTGTGCACACTTTGAATTCGGTTGTCAGACAAATCCAGAGTCTGCAAGGTTTCTGCCACCCCTTTAAAGGCATGTTCATCTATAAACTCAATCCCGTTTTTTGATAAATTGAGGACTCTCAGTTGGTGCAAATCCTTAAAAATTTCGTTGGGGATAGATGTTATCTGATTGGAGTCCAAATAAAGTAAGACTGTTTCTGGAGGAAGATCTCTGGGTATTTCCTTGAGGTTTGCATTGCTACAGCTGACATTCAGACCTCCGGAGTGAGAACAGAGGCAGCCTTTTGGGCACATACTGGCAGAATGAAAGCACAGTATCATGAGGACAAAACTTTGTAAGAGCAGACACATGGAGAGGGAACGAGTTAACCACAGGTCTACTAAATGCATGCTGGGGTGTCAGCATAATCACACGACCATTTCTCATTCAGCCAACAGTGGTGGGAAAAGGATTGGCAAAGCTGAAACGTGGCTTCATTTTCTTCGGTGGGATTAGTAAAAACTGACTAGCACATGGGCTTCCTCATGATCAATATTCATCACTGAAGCACACCTACAGAGAGAAAGGATAAAAAGTTCCTTATACCATCAACTCCAACTCCAATTTTGTTTACATTAAAAAAATAGTAATAAAATTTAGAAATAAAATTAAGTCAAAGTGAAATGCAACACTAAATAAATGATCTATTATCCTATCAGTGCACCAGATAATTTATTTAGGTAACTCCTATTAGCATTAATCTGAGTTTAGTATATAGGACATTTTTAAGAGCATAGACTACACTTGCTAGAAATTGAACAGGTTTGGGCTTTAATACTTATTAGAGACAGCACTGGCTTGTTTTTACAACACACTTCTAAAACAGCTATAAAACTAAGTTACCTTTTCCCTTGCTAAAGTAGAAGATGCACTAATAGGAGCTAAGAGTTGGATCTCTGCAACAGTGACAGGTAAGTGCAGAATTTGTGGTGGTTAATGGGAACTTACCCCAAAATAATTTATGCTATTTTGAGTCCAAATCAAAGTACTTCAGCGAGGAACTATTTTTACTATACCAAGAAACAAAAATTAAGTATACCAAATGCTGCTGCAAGACACCCAAACCATCCACCATCTCCTTCTCTTCTGCTTTTGAACACTGGATTTCCTGGATCTCCCAGCATTTTGTGAGACCCACAGAAATAATTTCTACCTTCAGTTTTCTTGAAAATTATTCATTTAACATAGAGAAAAAGAGAAATGTAACAATTTCTAAAAACTCACACAAACCCATGCACGACGCAAACAAAATAAAGTCTTATTCATGGCATGCAATTTGCTAATAGAACATAGGAAAAATACTGTTTCTGCTTCTCCTCTCTCAAGTTGGCTTAGAAACAGTAAATATCCAGAAGCTTTTTCATTTTCTCCTTTAATTGGAGCACAAATACAGAAGCCTGAAATGATGACCTATAAGGTTTCAAAGACAACCTCATTTACTTTTTCCTCTATTATGGTAAACTCGGAATTTCTAACCCCAACAAGTCCATTTGTTTTCATGTACATGCCCTCTGTCTCTGTAGCAGCTTGGGTATTTGCAGCCTTCAGGTTGTATTTACATATAAATGAATTTATTTTTTTCCAAACCCACACTGTAGTCCACCGAACATCAAAATCCCTGCAGGGAGGATATGTGTGATTTTACAGGAAGAAGAAGAGATTGCATTGCAATCATATTTGCCTGAAGAACTTGCATACTAACTGCATTTTCTGGCACATCGCAGTAATATGGATCAGAAGTGTCATGCAGAATTTCAAACCCACAGCTCAAGTTTTATTTAACCCTTTTGATGAAGTTTAGTATGCCACTGGAAAAAAAAAAAAACAACAAACCACCAAACACTCAAACCCATCTTAATATCATGTACATTATCTATGATTACTCCATTGCTATGGCTCAGGAATGGCAAAAGCTCAGCATACTCACTGCAACTACTGCAAAGAGTAGTGTATCACCACTACTTTTCGACTTGCTAATCAAAAGAGAGGTTGCCCAAGAACCTAAACAGAAAGTTTATACTTGGGACTCCATAAAACTTCAAAATTAAAAAGAAAGGAAATTATTAACAATGAGAAATTGTGAAATTAACCGTCAGAATGTGAAACCATTAAGAAGAGAAGTAAGCAGAGCACAAAAAACTCCCTGTGTGGATAGAAAGGTGAGGTAGCACCTCCACAATCAATGGAGTCCTACAAGACCTCCTTGAAAGAAATAGTGTTTATGGGAAAGAAGCCCATTGCACCGGGTGCATCCTTGCCATTTCTCCCAGTGGCTCTTTGGTCACTGCAGTGCCTGGTCTTCAGATCAGACAGAAATCTGCTACAGAAGGATGTAAGCTCCAGAAGTTGTTTTCTCCCAGCCTGCCCAAAAGCGCTAAGTACTTGCTAAAACACGCAGCCCATTCCGAGGCCAAGCTGGAGCTGGCAGCTGCTCCCCCTGGCAGCTCTGAGCTGGCAATCTGCTCCTCCCCTCCAGCAGCCCTGGGTGCTGCAGCAAGGCCGGTCCCCTATTTTCTTCTCCCTTCATGCTTACATGTCTCACTACTATGCTGGACCGAAAGAGTGTATCAGTGGTCCAGCTCATCACCTACTACTTGTATTCAGTAGCTTCTCACCAACAATACCAGAGGACTACCACAGGAATGGACTGGGGTGAAACAGCAAAGACCTGAAGTACTCTCAGATGCTTTATTTTGTAGAAGCATAAAAAAAAAATCACACTCCTCTCACCAGAGCATGACAATTACAGACCATATTTGCTTTATTACAGGCTAAAAAATCCCTGCCAAACTGGAATTACACTATGGACCCTGCTGAGTCCTCCATAGCACAGCTACACCACCAAAGATCACGTGTCAGAGACCCCAAGCACCAAAGACAATGCGGAACATCTTCATCCCACTGAAGATAAATGAAGCTCTTTTTCTTTAATGTATTCATGTGTTTAAAGTGGAAGTAGGATCATTATAGACTAAGCAGGAATGTGTTTAATAAAGCAATGCCTCTTCAAAAGAGATAACTAAGTAAATGGATAAAGAGGGAGAAAATCTCCCCAGTTTTAAGACATTAGAAAGAGCAAATACAGGTTTAAACCCATAATTAACAACCCAGTCGACAAAACTCAGCTGAGCAAGAATAAAGCTCAGCAAATTCTCAGTAAATTAACTGGAAGCAACCCAATGGGACTGAGCATCAGTCAGGGGAAACAGAGCTTTGTTTACTTCCATAATCAGAATATCTGATCCAAGGGATATCTGAGGTTTAGGTTTCACCAATAAACTTACAGCAAGGACCTTCTTAACTCACAGGTATCCTAGTGACTGCAACAAGAGAAAAAGAGAACTAGAATCCACACATTCGTAATGCCAAAAGAAAGATTTTTGGCTTCTTGAGCATCTATCTAATTTTGTCTGCTTGGAACACAATAAATGAAGGTAACAAAGCTGGAATAAAGACAAGAGATATATATCAGACAGAAACACTAAAGACTACAGAGAAGTAGATGGAAAACACAGAATTAAAATGAATATATGAATTAATTAGAAATGTGCAAATAAAAAAAGTGTAAATGAAGGCACAGGGAAATGACAGCAATACTACAAGCACAGGTAACAGCATGGTATAAAGATGCTTTTTGAGTATATTTTTAAAATACAAGTACAAACATAGAAAACTTAACTTACAAGTCAAATATTGCAGGGCAATAAAACTACAGAGGGAAGATGCACAAAAGAATTCTTTATGGTCTTGCCATTTAAGCCGCTTTTCAATCTTTCCTCTTATGCATCCCCAAGACCATTAATTCAGTACAAAACATCTAGTATAGGATGGATGTACAAATCCTGAAATCCTCAAGGAAAGCACATTTGCTTTTAATACACAGTGAAATTTCTACTGAGCTCCACGTGTCAGGTATCTTGCAGATGTTTGCTTTCCCAGCAAGCAAGGTGCAGAGGCTGTCTGTTAGCACCTGAATGCAATACTACAAAATTAGGTATTTGATTAGTAACTCCTCCCCACAAGAAATGAATGATGTAAAGAATCATCAGTGCCTCCAACTACCCACCTGGAAAAAAGGGCCTGGAAACTTGGCCAAGTCACACAGAAAGTCTATGACAAGACTATGTGCAGTATTAATTTATGCTGTTGTGTCTTCAGAGCAAGATATAGGATAGGAAATCCTCTAACCATCCACAGAACAGCATAAAAATGACACAGACTGAAACTTTTCATTGTTTGGGACAACGCTAAGACAACAAAAGATGCATAAAAAGAGAATCAATCATATATACAGTTAAAGATGTCCGACTTGGCAAAAGAGAAAGGGAAGAGCAAGGGGAGGTAAAAGTGGTTTCTACTGTGCTGTAGAGACTTTAAGCATCCACATGGCAGGTCTTCAGTCATCACCCAAGTGCTCATACATGTGTATTTTCTCACTGGCCCTCCACACAGCCTCTGCCCCCCTAAAATGTGAGAGTGGAGCAGCTGCTAGTCCTTTGCACTTGAAGGCAGCCACCGCTCCCAGAGGACTCAATAGCAGAGACTAAAATCAGCCTTAAGATGTATTCTGCCTCTAGAATTTAAACACACACACAACCCCCTCAACCATGAGGATCAGCTTGCATCACCACCAAGATTATGTCAGTGGAGACACCTGATGACACTCTTCCTCAAAATTTGTATCTTCCAGATGAGAGAGAGAGATTTACACCCTGCTTGTTCATCAGATGTCTTCTCTGTATATTGTGTATCTACACTGCAGTAGGGATCTTCAAAGATTAGTTCCTAGCACTACAAAAATTACCTTTGACAGTCTTGTATCTTTGTTCAAGTCACTCCATTATCACAATGCTTCTATTTGGCTTCTCACCTGAATTCTCAGACATTTTCAGGTGAATTCTCAAACATTTCTGTTGAGGAGAGATCAAGAACATCACCCTTTTCCTGATGGTTATTCATCAAGTCAAGTCTCACGTGATAAAGACAAAACCGTGACTAAATGTATTTCATTTAGATGCCTTCATGGGATGATTCCTGTCCTGAATCACAGAAATGAGGGCAACAAATTAAGTCTGTAGAACAGGATGATACAGGTCCAGCTAACCTAAGACCTCTAGACACACACACACAGCATCATCACTCCTCTTGCTTGTGGTCAAACTCTGTGGTCAGTACCACACTGACCTTCACTGAATCACAGCCTATAAGGACTCTTCAATGACATGAGACATGGAAGCCTTTCTATTTTTTGTTGTTGTTGTCATTCGCAAACAAGAAGTGGGAAAATAAAGAAAGATATGATCCTAAAAAAACATTCTTGTTCCCTAAGCCAACCAGCACAGGCACAGTGCAGAATGCACTCTTCCAGCAATAATGGGATAAATATTGCAGGTATTCTGGAAGATGCTCTTTCTTTGGGATGCGATGTCAAGGGATGCGGAGAAAAAAAGACTCAAGGTGCTATGGCATCAAGCTGCAGGTGAAGCATGGTCTACTTTTGAGCACAGGGTCCA